ATTTAAAACTCAACTAAAAACATGGCTCTATGTCAAGGCCTTCCCTCCTGCCAGCATTTAATCTAATTTAATTTATCTTTCTTTCCTTATCTATCTATTATTTATGATTTATGTTATGTTTTGTTAATTGATATTTTGGATTTATGCTACTATAATTGTATGTATGTTGCTGTTAGCCGCTCAGAGTGGTATAGATTTACCAGATGGGCGGGGTATAAACCAAATAATAATAATTTTAAAAAAACAGAGCTGGAAGGGACCCCGTGGACCCTCATGAAGTCCAGCCCCTGTCAAGGAGCCAGTGGGAGAATTTAAATCTCGTCTGGCTCAGCAGGCAGATCCCTAAATCTCTGAACTATCCAGCAGTGTATTCTCTACCTAGAAAACCCTGGAAAGAATGGACTTGGCCGCAGACAATCCTTATTATTAATCTTTGTTATTTTTCCCAATGTTGGTTTAAGAACTGCTTACCAATTGACACTTACAAGTAACTCTTGACTTTCTTCTTCTGTTTCTGCTTTGCATGCTAGAATGTTTGCTCTCTCCTTCTCCAGAACCTCCAGGCGACTACAGATCAGGTCCTAAAAGGAAAAAAAGTCCATTTTTTAATTCAGAACCAAAGGAGAATTGAAGAATATGCTTGCTCCCTATTAAAAGAAGGGGAAGCTCACTGAACCCTTCAAATTGGTTCTTTTGTCCCCTCGGCTCTTTGAAATTTTGGAGGTGAGTTTCTCCCCACCCTGATGAATGGATCTTTCCTGCATCCATTTTTTAAAAAGGATGTCTGAAGCACCTCTTTCTGTTTCAGATTAAACATTGCTTGCTACCTTGTAGTCTTGAGCAGCCTCCTCCAGAGGAACCACATCATGATTCCTGTGCTCTTTAGATCTGTCACACACCACACAGATGGGGGCTTGGTCCTCCTTGCAGAAGAGCTTCAGGGGCTCCCGGTGCTTCCCACAGGTTTTCCCCTTTCCCTCGGTGGGGCTCGTTTCCCCTTGGAGACGGAGCTTCTTGGTTAATTCTACAAAGTTTCCCAGCAGCCGATTAGGGATGAGGTTCCTTCTGACTTTTTCTCTGCATTGAGGGCAGGAAATCTCTTCCACCCCTGACCCTTCCCAGCTCTGGGTCAGGCAGGCTCGGCAGAAGTTGTGCCCACATTCAATGGTGACGGGATCTTCAAAATACTCCAGGCAGATGGAGCAAGTGGCTTCCTCGCAGAAGCCCTGGAGGGAAGCAGCAGCAGCAGCAGCCATATCTCATCCCACAAACTTAACTTTTCCCGCTTTCAGAGAATGGGTGTTAGTCTTCCTGTAAATCTGTCAGCGGGAGATCTTCAGCATGTGAAAAAAAATGCAAGGAGGAGGAGAAAACAAGGCGCAGCGAAGAAGGCTTTTTAAACAGATGGACTGGACCAAGAAAAAAGGGAATGGATTAAGGGAAAGAGAAATATTTCCAAGCTATAAATTGGTCTGAAGATAACTGTGGTTTAGATCTATGGTTGTGGAGCCAGAGGCTGGAAGTTTGATTCCACATGTCTGGCCAAGTGGATTTCACATGTCACATGTGTTTTTGTCTTGCCTTGTTTCTTCGGATTTTGCCTGATATGCTTGCACAGATTAACAGGGCTGCCTGTTCTAAAACTACAACTGATCCCAACCCATAGCTCCTGCAAGTAGAGTCTGCTTGTGTGGCCTTAGGCAAGCTGCACGGTCCCAGGGTTCCCACACACACACACCCCAAGAAGAAGGGAAGAATAAACCATTTCTGACCCTTCTCTGCCTGGAAAACCCTGCAAAGTGTTGCCATAAGTGAACCTCTTATGTTTCTCAAGCTCCAATTTCAGAATCGAAGACTGTGCTGACATTTTTTTTTGTGGAAATGAAGAAAGCATTTCATTTCCAAACCCTTTTCTTCCCATGGGGGTGAAAGCTCCCGGCCTGCCCTCACCTCCTTTTGGGAAAGAGCGGTTCGGTTGCTCACTTCCCGGGCTTTGCTTCACAACCCCTGCTTGCCTGCCCCTCACCACATCAGAGCTTTCTCTTGCAAGGTGCTTTTCCTCCCATGAGCTCAAATGCAATATCTCTGGGACTCTGAGAAAGTGGGGGAAGGAGGTGCCCTCCTCCATTTTGTGTCCTGAGGCAGCCTCCTGAAGGGGAACCATGTTGGGAGCCCAGCATGCAGAAGGGGGCGCTTTGTAGTCCTTGTCAGAAGGAGATTTTGAGGCTCCCTCTGAAACGACCGGCCTTCCTTCCCCTCCACCTCCTCCCTCCAACAGCTTGGCCTTTCTGCTCCTCTCTTTGGCCGTCTCCACACAGCTGCCACCTTGGGCCGGCTGGTGGTTTGGTGTCAGCCTCCTTGGCCTCCTCCTCGCTCAGGGCTGAGGGCGTGCGGTGGCCCCAGGTGCCCATCCCCAGGACCTGGCGGAGGCATCTCTTGTGGTTGTGGGTCAGAGTGGCCTCCGCTGTGTTTGGGGAGCCTTCCCCCATCTGACAGAAGAAGCAGGATCATCTTCCTGGGAAACCATATCTCATTGGACCATTTTGTTTCCCACAAGAAAGGGAAGAAAAGAGTGATGAGTGTAAGTACTACATTATTGGACATTAATGTAATTTTAATAAAATTCCAAGCCATTTTCACGGCCTTGGAGGTAAGAACAAGGACTTCTGGGCATGTGCAGACTGCATATTTGTTAGTGAGTGCCAACTGCTGAAATCAAGGGATTGGCACCTGAAACCAAGACATTTATTATTTTATTTATTTATTTATTGCATTTATATGCCACCCATGTAGACATAGTCTACTCATAAACATGAGTTTATGAATGTGTCATTCCACACAGACTTTGATCAGAGATACCTTATGATCTGCCATTAAGTTCCCTTGTGCTGTCAATATAGAATCTATGCTATAGACAACATTGAAGGTTCTCCAACATGAGGCAGCCGTTTTAGGCCCTCATGAAGGGCAGGAAATGGGGGATGAAATCTAGCCTCTGTCTGCCCCAGGCAAAGCTGCCCACCATGACTATGACAAGGGAAAGGGGGCCAGAGGGCTCCTCCCCACTCCCCAGGTTTCTCTTCCAGTAGATATACATGTATGAATATTTGATTGAACATGCCACAATGTTTTTGTCTGGCCTTGAATATTTCCTTTTCCATGGCATCTGCCTGTCTCCCCAACTGGACTCAGGCAGTTCACTTCCCTGACTTCCTGAATGCCCGTCCATAGCCACAACCAGACCCACTGGCATCCGGGGTGAGTGCACACTGGCATCCAGGACGCCAGGTCCTTTGGAGCATCTCACAAGGGCACTGGCTCTGCATCCCCTCTGGCCCGACGATGTGCCTGGCCTCTGGTCCTCCTCCTGCCAGGACTCACCTGGTCCTGGTTCTTAGCAGAATTAACCACCCCTCAACCCCCACCCTTGAAACGGATGGAGCTGCAACCCCTCTGCATCCTGCTTTCTTGTTCTTGATGTGATCAGAGATGTCTGGAGGAGAGAAAGAGGGTTCAAGAGGCTGGCAAAAGCATTTCCTCCCTCTTCACACCTTATGTTGGAATCCTGAGGAGGAGTTCATACTGACAGTAGAGAGGCCATGAATGTGGCCATGAATGTGGCACTCCTGTCACTCCTGATTTTTTTTCAATCTTATGGTCATTCAACAGTGCTTGTTACATCCCCTGTAACCTCAGTGAAGGCCAATGAAAATGTCCATTTCTGCTGTTTTTCCTCCTCCTGCTCCTCCTTCAGAATTCGTTCGATTACATTAGCCTATCTGGTCATTGCCGCCTAGAGTGGTCGCAATGACCAGATAGGTGGGGTATTAAATAAATAAATAAATAAATAAATAAATAAATAAATAAATAAATAAATAAATAAATAAATAAATAAATAAATAAATAAATAATTTTTTTTTCAATAAAAAAGATCAATTATAAAAACTTTTGGTCTCTTGAACAGCAAAGCCTGTCGCAGCCATTCCCAGAGGGAGAGGCAAGGCCACAGTACGCTACTGAGACCTACTTAATTGAGCTTAGTAGATTTTAGGACTACAAAGCTCATGTGCAACTTCTTGCTGAACTTCTCCACTGGAATTAGCTGCAATCCTGCTATTCAAGAGATAAGCCCTTTGTTGAGGAATAATTGTTTAATTAAAAAAATTAAGTTGTTCCACTAAAATACAGTTTGCAGCCTTAAAAATCATATCTATCATATCTATCATAATCATATCTAAGCAATAACCATAATTCAAATCCGAGACTATTCTTAGGTTAAAATAATAACCACTAAACTAACCTAAGTAATCATCTTGACAAACATGCTACATCTTAGCATTCCTAGAGAAGCTGGGCTAATCCTCCCGCCTCTTCTCTTTCAAAAAGACAAAACCTTTTTGTTCTCCCATCCCATCCCACACATGAAACAACCATTTTTCTACACGTCTCTGGACCACCTTCCTTCTGACGCTTCCAAGCTGTCAACCAATTGGGAATGTGAGGACATAACACAGTTCTTCACTCCTATTTCACGTGAGAACTACAGGTGTCTTATCTCATCCCAGGTAAGAGGAATGTGGTGTTTGGTCTTCTCCTCCATCTTATCCACCTTGCTTCTTATCTTGGTGCCAAGCAGAGCAAAATTGAAACATTCAGTGGCTTAAAGCCAAACTATACAGTAAACTCAACAGAATCCATCTTTGTATGACTACAAGTCCCAATTGTCTTCTAATTCCTTACAGCTTCTGCATTTGTATTGGGTTTTTTTGTTTGGTTTTTGAGGGACCACACAACCTTTTACTGATTCCCCCCCAATTCTATTGTCATTGAATGGTCCAATTGCCTTTTTGGACTGGTTTCCAGATACATTTGAAGCACTCTTCATTATTATCCTTGTAAAAGATGGCTGTCACATGTTTAAGATTGGACTGGTTTCCAGATACATTTGAAGCACTCTTCATTATTATCCTTGTAAAAGATGGCTGTCACATGTTTAAGATGTAAAAGTGTTTAAATGTTTGAGAAAGATAAATAACAGGAAAGTTGCTAACTCCATGATTTATGTTGTGAAAACCTGAAAGCAATGTACTAAGTGGTCCACTAGATGGCACATTAGGATAATCATTGTTGAAGACACACACTCGGCAATCTAGCTATCCACTGAATCACTGGGTTGGCAGAATGCTCTCTCTGCTGTTGTTATTATGTGTCATCAATTTGTCTCTGACTAGATAGTGACCCCATGAATGAATGATATGCAGAATGTCTTCTCCTTGAATTTGCAAGACCTGAGCCAGGGAGAAAATGACAGGGCCTGTTGGAGGTCACTGATCAATAGAGTTGGGATAAATTGGAAACGGCTTGATGGTTTCTAACAACTAACCTCTCCTCAGATCCAAAGCCACATTCAAAATGAGAGTTGTAATCATGTGTATACTGTTGCTTGTAGTAACATTGGAGGTTGCTGTTTTGAAGTGCATGCCTACATTGCTTTTGTAATTACTTTTATTATTTACCAAATAAGAGAAAACATCTAAGCAAGTTCACACACAAAAAACGCTATCCCCACTTGCATTTGTCGATTAAGCAATATATGTTCCATTCTGTTCCAGGAAGAATATGTACAGTATATGGAAGTCTGTAAGAATCAGGACTTGTGTATGCATAAATCCTATTTACATACAACTTGAGATATTTAAGAGGAAGTTTCTCCATCCATCAGAAAACCATTCTGTTGTTCTTGGTCACACTCATGTCATGAGAAAGCATACAGCATATTTATTTGTGTGAGGGAAATAGAGGAATTACCTTTCCTGAACTCAGAGACTCAGCCTAGAATGAGACATTGCCCCAACGAGTCAGAATAATTTCCTCGTGCTTAGGGCTCTTGCATTTATTTTTCTCAGGGTTAGGGGAGACGGTCTTAACAAGACCGGGGATGTTGTGGCAAAAGACAAGAGAAACCTGAAAGGGGGGAAAAAAGAGAGCCATGGATACTACTGTACATCTTTTCTGGGAATACAGAGAGGAGATTTCTGACAAGCAGGAAAAGGGCTGCCGTCTCTTAAAGAATTGACTGGTCAAGGGAGGAAAGGACTTTGTGAAAGGGAGGGAGAAAAGCAGATCCCCTCCCATCTTGTTTTTGTGAGGCTCGGAGTACCACAAGGGGCACTCCACAAAGTGTACCGTCCACCTCTTTGGCTGAGGACTTTGAGAGACAACTGCCCACCCTGGAGAAAAACCTGAAAGGACTGGGCCTGGATGAAGAGGAAGAAGAAGAGCAAAGGAAGAAGGAGCCGTCACTATAGGGTCCTGTTTTGGCGGGAAAGGAAAGGGGGTTCAAAGGAGAGGAGGACGAGGAGGGAAGGGTTGGCAGTTAGAGACAGAAGAAGGAGAGGCTTGTTGGGTAGAGGAAGAGGAAGACGAAAGGAAAAAGGACTGGGAGGAAATAGTACTGGGAGACCCCTGGACAGGGGAGGTGATGGAGTTTCAGCTCCCTTGGGATTATGCTGAGAGGGAAGGGAGGAGAAAGACCTATAAGAAGCCACCCTATTGGGGCAAGACAGAAGAAAGGGAAGAGAGGCTCAGAAACAGGAGAACAAGCCCTGTCTAGACCACCCTGGGAAACCCTGTGGGAGGAGTCCCTTCAGGCCAAGGCTGAGACCAAACAGGTGGACTGGGTTTTCCACCCTCTCCAATAAGGTCAGCTTCAGAGGGAACCGAGGGAGCAGGCGTTCCACAGAAGTGGCATCAGTTCTCATATGAAATAGGGGAGAGCTGTGTTATGTCCTCACAATCCTAATCGGTCGACAGCTTGGAGGTGTCAGAAAGAAGGTGGTCCAGAGACGTGTAGAAGAATGGTTCATCCCTTACACAATTAGAAGGGGGCTTCTTAGGGTTCACCGATCAAAAACAAGACACGACCTCTCTGAAGCAAGAGACGGAATCCATTGTCGACGTTAAAGGAAGCATTTTGTTGCCCCCAAAAAGTTTTTGTTCAAACCTCCTGGCTTCCATGTATCATCCATTCAACACACTTCAGACGAGAGGGAGAGGAAACTGCATTGGATCACAGTTTCATATTGTTATAAGGGGAAGGTGGTGGTCAGACGTCTTTCTTGTGGGGAGATTTGCAAAAGGGAAAGGAGAGACACTTGACCAATTCAGATTTCCCTCTGAGGTCGGCTTATGCCTCGTAGTGAGATTATGAGGAAGGCTTCTCTATGTATAGGAAATAAGGTTCTCCCCAAAGAGGCTCTAGAAATGGTGTAGACATGGGATCCTGTATCAAAATCATAAAAGGCCCCCTGCCCCCCCTCACAGTTCAGGGACACCCAGATCCTCCTCAGCTTCCCATTCAGAGGAAGAAAAATTTGTCAGGAAAACCAGCGGCCTCCTATTTACCTCTCCATCTTCCCACAGCCCAGACTGAGCAGACTTTGGGTTGAGAACGTAGGTTCTCCATACAGACTTTCTGGCCACCCCCAGAGCCCATTCTCCCTCATCCCCCATAGTGACATCCCAGTATTTATTGATTTTATTTATTTGGCTTCTATATCTATACCACCCATCTACAATATTTTTTTACAGGTGGCATATGACTCCAGAAAAATTGTCAAAGATTTATAAGATGTGTCACAAATGTTTGTTGGAAGTGTGAAGCTTTTATCATATGTGGTGGATTTGCAGAGTAGCGAAGCAATATTGGATAGGAGTGCATACTTTGTTACCAAAAATATTGCTTTGTAAGGTTCCACTAACTCCAGAACTGTTTCTATTGAGTATGATACCAGACAACATAGAAAAGACAAAGAAGTGCTTAGTTATATATATATATAGTCACTGCAGCCAGAATTCTTTATGCCCAAAATTGGAAAAGATTGTGATACCGAAACAAGAGGAACTTATTGAGAAGATACTAGAAGCGGCAGAAATGGACATGCTATCAGAAGTGTTGAAAAACTGTCCAATACAAAAAGCAGCTGAACAATGGGATTTATATTATAAATGGTTTGAGTCACTAGATAAAGCTTAAATAACATAGATCTAAACTAGGATGTAAATATGAATTAAAATCTGGAGGGCAGCGAATAGTATAAAAGCGTAAAGTTTGAATTTTGATATTGCAATATGAATAGACAGGATGTCAGTATATTTTGTGTTTCTCTCCCCCTTCCCCCCTTACATTTCCCTTTACCGTCTGTATCCCAAACCCTATCCCAACTTATTAAATATATATTTAATATTTATATTTAATTATAATTCGTAATTAGTAGTATTATAGTATTATAATAATATAATTAATATTATAATAATTTATAATAAAGGTATTATATTTAATAAT